TAAACCCTAAACTGAACCCTAAGCCCTTAACCCCTAAACCCCTTAACCCCTAAACCCTAAACCCTCAACCGGGGCTTATGGCGTTCCAGCTTCTGGGGGTTGCAGGCGGTGCCAACGCCGGCGTTCCTTTCGGAGTTTTCTTCGGCGCTGCATTGAAAGGAAACTACAGGTGGGGAGTTTAGGGTATAGGGTCTAGGGTTTAGGGTTTATGGTTTAGGGTTTAGGGTTTAGGGTTGGTTCTTTGGGCCCACCAAGTTTACGAGTTTGGCGCGTGATGGAAAGCCCGAAATTGGCCTCTCCCCGAACAATGAACTCTAAACACTAAACCCTAAACCCTAAACCCCAAACCCCAAACCCCAAACCCCAAACCCAAACCTATTGTCTGAAATAGAAGAAGTCTCTGAAGCTGGCGTACACCGCAGTCTGGGCCTTTGACGATGGCAGGATTGATTCTAGAGACTTCCCACCCTCTTAAGTAAGAAATATCTTGAGTTGAAGTAGATTCCTAAGCCAAGCGGTTTCGAAGTCGCTGGGAACAGTCCAGTCAAGCACTCTGCCACAGGCAACAGAACCTTTCAACACACGCCCCGAAACCCTAAATCCGAAACCGGACCTCAAACCGGGGACAAAAAGCCCCAGAGCCCAAACCGAAAAACCTAAACCCTAACCCTAGATCCTAACCCCTCAATCCTCAATCCTGGAGTGCTTCGGATTGCGGATACGCACGCCTCGACCCAGGAGCCCTACATCCCTTGGAGGCGGGGCACATCTATCCGCCTTTCCGTGGCATCTTCGAGTTCGGTGTCTTCATCCGTATCCACCGGCACAGCGTTGGAGCCAATCTTGGCAGGGCCGGCTCAGGGGTTCAGGGTTGAAAGTTTAGGGTTTTAAGGGTGGCTCTCGAAATTGAGGGTCCGTTTCTGGGTTCCCAAAATACTACTAGGGTTGAGAGTTTAGGGTTTTAGGGTAGTTCTCTAAATTAAGGGTCCCTTTATGCGTTCCCAAAATACTACGGCAGCCTTGTAAAAAGGACCCTCAAAGGGAGCTTGCTTTAGAGAACTACCCGTTTAGGAATCGGGCTTCGGTTTTAGGAGCCAGGCCGCCGCCCAGGATTCATGGTCGCAGACGAAAGGCTTCTCTGGCCCAGGATTTGTCAAACTCAGATACAAAATTTCTGAGCAAGTACAGTTTCGGGGGTTTTGGTGTTGATACTGAGAACTTTACTCTATCTATCTGTCTATCTATCTCTCCATCTAGTTTTGTATATATGGATATGAATGCATATATGTATGTATGTATGTATGTATGTATGTATGTATGTATGTATGTATGTATGTATGTATGTGTATATAGATATGTGTGTATATATATAATATACATATTACGTACATCCTTATCAAACCCATAGAAAGCCCCAAGCTCCAAAACGCTTGTGCTAGGGGCCTAGCCCTTCAGCCTTTGCTACCAAGGACCCTACACCATGTAGGGCCTAGGGTTTAGGATTTAGGGTTTAGGGGCTGAGGGCTTTAGGGTTTAGGGTTTAGGGTTTAGGGTTTACGGGTTTAGGGTCTACGCTTTAGGGCTTAGGGTTTAGACCCTAAACCACAAAACCCTGAACACCCTGCCTCCACATCATACTTAAAGCCCTCAGAAAGCCTGATGGGCCTAAATGCCACACGCTTTAGGTATCCATAAGAACCCGTATAGTAGTTTGAATAGGACCGTATAAAGAAACCCCATGAAAGGAACCCTTTGCGTAGTCTTCCCCCTTACATCCCCAGAGTTGAAATGCGACTAAATCCCCATAAAAAATCCTGATACTAGCTCCCTACCCCCTGCACGCTTAAACCCTAAACCAAAACCCTTAAACTTAATCTCTGGAGCCTTTAAGCCCGAAACCCCTAGCCTTTGGTCCCCTAAACCATAAACCCAAAACCCTAAAGCNNTTATTAGGGTTTAAGGTTTAAGGTTTAGGGGTTTAGGTGTTTAGGGTTTAGGGGGTTTAGGATGCCTCCTCGTCCTCAAAGGGTTCGAACTCGGAGAGCGCCCCATGAGCCCGCTCGGCTTCCGTCTCCCGGAGGCCGGCGACCTTCTGCTTCTCTTTTGGGGCTTAGGGTTTTGGGGTTTAGGTTTAGGGTTTGGAGTTTTGGGTTTCGGGTTTAGCGTTTATAGGGTTTAGGATGTAGGGTTTGGGGCTTCGGGTGTAGGGTTTAGGGTGTAGAGTTTAGCGAGTTTCTTGCTTGCTGGTTGTTTGGTATCTGGTTCTTTGTGTCTGCTTTAGGGTGTAGGGTTTAGGGTTGAGAGTTTACCCTGAACCGAAGCCTCAAAAAGCACCCAAGCCCTACCAAAAAAAAACTCGACCCTGAAACCGCGAAGCCCTGACCCTTATAGAACCCATGTAGGAACCTAGAACCTCATATAAAGTCGCACACATGGTGCCTAAACCCATGCCCGAAACGGATTGTAGGGTGTTGGGGCAGTTACACTGTACTTGTAACAAGTAATCAGGAATCGTAAGGGGGTAATTCTTTAAGCCCCTATATGACTCTGAGTTGGAGGTTCTAGGGCTTAGGGATTGGGATTGAGGATGCTGAAACTGCTGACTCCACGGTTTAAGGTTTCGGGTTTAGGGTTTAGGAGAATTTATGTCATTGTGGCTTGTTGGCTTGGCTCTCTGCAATACTCCATCGTCTTGCGAGACTCTGTCAGAATTGACTCTTACTCCGGGCCGCGCGCCTGCTTCTGAAACAGGGTTTCCAGTATATTATACTAGAACCATGGGAGGAACAAAACATCATGTGGGTAGTTCTCTAAATTAGGATCCCTCTCTAGATCCAAAATAGTACGGCCCCCTTTATAACGAGGACCCTAAACATGACCCCCAAGTTGGAGAACTACCCATGTAAAGTATCGCTCAAGGCCCCTAAAGTGGATGTTACGGCCTCGACCCGAAGCCTGAATATCCACGAACCCAGAGACTCCAATATCCCTTAACTAAGGAATATGCCTTAAGTCATACTAGGGATCATATTACGATTTAAGGTATATTCCTTATTTAAGGAATATACCTTAAACCATATTGGGGATCCCTAATATGATTTAAAATATATTCCGTAATTAAGGGTTAATTGGAGTCTCTGGGAACCCCGGGACTGCTGAAGATCGGGGGGCCGGAAAAAATCCAAATCTAAGGGGTCTTCTAGGGTTTAGGGTTTAGGGTTTAGGGTTTAGGGTTTAGGGTTTAGGGTTTAGGGTTTAGGGTTCTCAATCATTCGAAGAAGGTCTTGGGCTGTGTTCTACTGTTTAGAGGGGCCCCGAAACCCTAAAACCCTAAGCCCCTAAACCCTCAACCCTAAACCCCTAAAACCTAAACCGCAAACCCTAAATATTGGTGGCATAGTTCTTCCGACCTCTGAATGAAGCTCTGAAAGCCCTGTGTAAAGACTTCCGGAGCAACCGGAGGTCACGCTTGGGGCTTTCGGATATCTTCATGGAGAATGTGGGGTCTTGGGGTTTAGGGTCAAGGGCTCAGGGTTAAGGTTTGGGAGGCTTCGCGTTTGGGGCAGCTACTTGGCTTGTTGCCCTCAGCCTACGTGGCCCCTGCCCAGCTGGGCAGCAGACCTGTCGCCAGCAAGCCGCGGTGGTGCATAGGCCCACGATAACTGGGCGGGGAGCACGGTACGTCAATCCTCAAATGGCCTAAAGAGCCCCCACATTCAAGTCTCTAACAAAACATGCTTCGGCCGCATGTAAGAGCAGAAATCATACCACTCCCTTTCCACTCCCAACACACTTGCAGCATAGGCTTAGGCTGTACCTGATTCGAAGTACGATGGCCTCTACGCTGTTGCCCCGCCCGGCAACTCCGAAATCTGAAACAGAGAGTTTCATATAGGGGCCTTGACAATTAGAGTAGGGTCGGGGTTTCGGGGTATCTGATACTGTAATCAAAATGTCAACTCCCCAAACAGTTTTGGCAAATATTTCGGCCCCAATGCCCTATACTACATGATTATATAGGCTTGGACCTAAACCCTAAACAGGGACCCTACACCCTAAACACAGGGGCCCTGAAAGCATAAACTTTAGCCCTCACCGGAACCTCATCCCTCGACACTCCAGCCCAAGGGCCTCGGATCGACCGCCGTCATGCACCATAGGGGTTTGGGGTTTAGGGTTTAGGGTTTAGGGTTTAGGGTTTAGGGTTTAGGGTCAACGGTCCTCGCCACCTTTTCCTCAGGCTCCTCTGCATCGTATAGCGCTCTGAGCTCCGGTAGCCCGGAGCCTCCATCAGAGAGGGGGGTCTTGCTGGCGTGCTTGAAAAGCTTCTTGAAGCGGTACCGCGACACCTGGATGCGTTTGGACTTGCCAACAGAAAAGTCGGACTTGCTGCTGCTCCATTTCTATCTTTTTCCTCTCAAGCTTCTCCTTCGGAAGTTCGTCGCGGACCCGGCAGAGGCCAGTCGTTGTGTTCGGGTGGCAATATGCCCCGCAATCGGCGAAGCTCAGGCACTCCGCTTGTGCCTGGACCTTCTCCACAGGTTCGTCAGCCATCACTACCCAGACCCCCAAAAGAATCTAAAAAATAGATCCCTGAGGGGGTTCTTATGAAGTACCCTTTAGTACTTAGGGTCCCTAATTAGGGGATCTATTTTTTAGATCCTTTTGGGGGTCTGGGTAGAGGACTGGAATCTGTTGAGGCGATCTGTTGAGGCGAGGCTGTGAAATCCAAACTGTTTCTCTCTCTGTCTCTCTCTCCCTCTCTCTCCATATTCTGCTTCTGTCACTATCTTGGGGTATACAAAGTAGAAGTAGAAGCCCTGAACCGGTTCTATTACGTACTTCTGCTATATGGGACCTTAGAGTGCAATGGTGATGTAGACACTGCTGACTGGCTCCCTCCCCTTTAGAGGTTTCACTGCAGGGATTCTTCAAGTAGAGCCCCCAAGGGAACCGGGATTGTTACTCGAGGGGTCTACATTATGCCTGAGTGTTCATCAAGGCCCTATATTACTACGGCTGATGATATAAACCCTGCATTTTCCATAATCGGGAATATGCCATAATTCCCAGAGTGTAGGGGCCTTATATCATGAACCGTATCAGGGCTAGAAGATGAAACCAAACCTGAAACTCTGAAGCCTCTCAACCCTCACTCCTACGTTGTTTATCGCGATTTGCAGGATCTTTAAGGGGCTCTTGTAGGATTTTCGAGTAAGCAGAGTCATCATCAGCACAACTACCCTTATGATTGCTCACGGTTTAGGGCTTCAGGTTTAGGGTTTAGGGTTTAGGGCTTAGGGTTTCGGGTTTAGGGTTTAGGGCTAAGGCTTAGGGTCTAGGGTTTAGGGTTTGGTGCTTATGAGACGTATCACCATACCCACAGAGGCCCCTGATTCTCCACGTATCTGGAACGACCATGACCGACCCCTTATTCGCATCATGGCATAAAATGCCTCAAGTTGCCGTTATCACGGAGGTCCCTACAAGAACCGTTCAACCCTATCCCGAAACCCCCTACACCCTAAAACCCCAAACCCCCTGAACCCTTAAAATCCGTAAGACGCCCAGACCCTCACCTAAACCCCTATACCCGAAGCCCTAAACCCGAAACCCTAAACCCTAACCCGAAACCCTGAACCCTAAACCCGAAGCCCTTAAACCCTAAACCCCTATACCCGAAACCCCGAAACCCTGACCCGAAGGTGAACCCTGAGCCCGGAAGCCGCCTCGTGTCATGGTTGCCATGGCTTCTGCAAGCCTGCACACGCTCTAGGGCTTTAGGGCTCGAGGACTTCAGGGCGTTAAGGCTGTAGGGCTCTTTAGAGTTTTAGGGTTCATGGTTTAGGGCTTTAGAGTTTTAGTGCAAAGAAACTGAAACCCTAAACTTTAAAACTCTAAACCCTAAACGCTAAACGCTATCTGTAGCCGAAAAGACCTACCTTCTCTAGGGCTCCTTATTAATATGGTTTCTATATGTAGTTCCTCAAAAGGTACGCCTTTTGGGCCACAGGCAAACCCAAAATTTTAAACCCTAAACCCTAAACCCTACCTGTAACCGAAAAGACCTACCTTCTTTAGGGGTTTCTATATGTAATTCCTCACAAAGCTAGGTCTTTCTGGCCACGCGTAAACCCAAAACTTAAACCCTCAACCCTAAATCCCAAACTCTAAACCCTATGGTTCGAGCTTGAAGCGCTGGGGGGTCCTTGGCCTGGAAGTTGACTATATGTAGACTAATCTCCCGAATTAAGCCTTGCCCTGAAACCCTACAAGAGCCTTCGGGTTTAGGGCTTTTCGATTTAGGGTTTAGGATTTAGGGTTTAGGGTTTAGGGTTTAGGGTTTAGGGAGGATTCAGGG